CATCACCGTCTAGATTAACGCTTTGGTTTTGACTCCAGACTAACAGGGACAGCCTCTCTCTGTTGAACACCAGCGCAGGTCTCACGCCTGCCTTCAGCTGGACACGCAGCTTTCAGTTTATTTCCTCCTCCCTTTTTTTTAGAAAAAGAAAAAAACCCATTTGATGTTTTTTGGAAACGTTTGCTCTGCGTTTGATACGTTCTGAGGGGAGAATTTGTGTACAAAACGCCCGTGGAACGACGACAGTGATTTTTCTGGTATTTTTTGCATCAAGCTTTAGTTCCTTTCGTAATAACCAGAGGATGGTGTTTGATATTCTGTTAGGTGTACAGAAACCCCGCTGAAACTGTGAGCGCTCCTCAGTCAAATAGCTTTTGTTTATTTTTATTTTATTCTCTGTTGGATCTGTTATCTATTGAAGCAGCAGAACGCAGTCGAGAGATGTCCGAGCTAATCGAAATGAAATAAACGTTCAGTTTAACTCAGACAAGCCCGATGGATTCACATCCAAGCCTGTTTGGTTCTCATTCGTCTGTTAAACGTAGATGCTTTTTCTTCATGCTAAGTAGGACTAGATTATTGTTATTATATTTACAGATAAACATCTTCTATTTGGTGCATTTTGCCCAGTAATCGCTTCATCGTCTAGCTATAGGTCAGTTAAAGGAAAACACATCCTGGTTTTTGATTGAATGTATGGATGAATTCAATGTTTTGGTTCTCTCTATGCAGGACTAGACTGCTGTTCTGTCTTTAAAATGTATTTTGATATTCCAGTGCCAGTTATTCTTGCCTTTTGATGTTGATTATGTCAATTTCCAAGAGGGCTTTTTTTGATATAATAATCTCAACACGACGCCCTCAACGACGAGCCCATCACTGTTTAACGTCACGATCTTCTGGAAAGATCCTGAACCCTTTAAGAATCCGATTGGATGTGTTGAAATTGTGTTCATGTGCACTTTAAAGACGAACGCCGCGAGTCTCACATGATAATGCGAAAGCAAATCTGACGTCATTACGTAAAGCCAGATGAACCGAAGGCCAATAGTTGCTCGTTTTCAGTATTTCAGCATACAGACATAGTGATAAAATGCATCGTTTAGCTGGATAAAACATTTAGCGTCACGTTTTCACTCAATTAAGAAGTTCCTGGTTTGTGAATAGTTATCTGTTTGATACACTCGTGTGTAATGTGTTATTTCAGGTACCAGCCGTCTATTGCTCTGTTTGTTTACCCAGCGGCCCCGTCTCTTCCCCATTGAATGTCACTGAAGCACTAGTTCCTGCACTGTTAAATGGGAGTCAGTTATTATTTGCTGTGCTTCGTATTTTTAATTTGTGTCCAGACATCCAAAGACTGATTAGGGGATAACTTTAGGAGGAGAAGCGCTCTCTCTCTCTCACTCTCGGATGGCTCTGTGTTATTATGCCGTCTCGTCTGTCTCATAGTTTATTTGCATTCGCTCCCTTTAAAAAAAAAAAGCACTACGATTTGCAGAGATGTCCCGCTGGCAGCTAGAGGAACGCAGTCTGACCGATCACTCCGGGTTTGATAGGAAGCGAATCTGAGCAGGGGGCAGATTTTGGTGCTGAATTTGGACTGGAGATGTGAATGAATCCAGTCCGGCGTTGTGTGAGATGTGAACGGAAGTGCAGGACGTGTGTCATGTATTAAGGGGCTTGATGTGATTTGTTCAGACTAACTCTGGAGGAGTTTGATTGGCAGGTTTATTTTGTTTTTTTATTTTTCTGAATTAAAGCAGTTGTACATGGTGTGCTCTTAGAGGGCTTCAAACGGGGGCAAACTGAGGTTTTTATTCAACAAGAGAAATAAATAGTTGTTCAGTAGACTGTGTCCGTCTCGTTATTGGATTTCAGTTTCATTTTAAGAATTTAATAATAATAATGCATACAAAATTTGCTTACCATTTTCTGGACTTTTTTTTTTTATTGAAATAAAACGTTTATAATGTTCTCATTTTATCATGATGTTTTTTGTATATTAAAAAAGGATTTACTTTTAATTTAATTTTTATTTAATTCTAATGTCAATCCATACACAGAAAAAACTCACTTAAAATATAAAGAATTGTTTTAATAAAGTTTTGTTTTATTATTATTATTTTGTATTTATATTAAGTATACGATATGATTAGATTTTTTATACGAATTTAATAGGAAGCAATATATAAGAATTGCCATTATTCCCTTTGGTAATTTAATTAATAAATGTATAATTCATGGTTGTTGAAACATTAAATAAACCCAAATTTTGTAAATACTAACAAATCAAATATCAGTAATGTTTTTAAATTAAATTAAATAATTTTACTTGTATGAATGTTAAAATTCAGGTTACAAAAAACAACTGAAATGGTTTGTCAGTGGGTGAACAGTACATATTCATGAACAAAATTAGAGAAGAGTGTGAAAAGACTGAATATACAGTGTTTCATGCGATGCAGGTGAATTGGGTACGCTAAATTGTCTGTAGTGTATGAGTGTGTTTCCCAGAGATTGGTTGCAGCTGTAAGGACATCCACTTCGTAAAAACGTGCTGGATAAGTTGGCAGTTCATTCCACTGTGGCGAACCTGGATTAATAAAGTGACTGAGCCGAAAAGAAAATGAATGAATGAATGTGCCCTTATAAACTAGCATTTTAGCTTTTACTTGTCATTGACTTACATGTTGGATTTACAGTATTTTTGGTCATTTTATTTATTTTCCCAGATATTACAGTGTCATATTTATTTATGAAGCACATTTAAATAAAACAACCAAAGTCAACAAATATTTTAAGTAAATGTTGAAAAAAAACTAACAATTAGATGTAGTGATAAATGTAAAAATACTCATTCATTCATTTTCTTTTCGGCTTACGCCCTTCACCAATCCGGGGTCGCCACAGCGGAATGAACCGCCAACTTATCCAGCACATGTTTTACGCAGCGGATGCCCTTCCAGCTGCAACCCTTCTAGCCTACCCAATTCATCTGTAGCATGTGTTTGGACTGTGGGGAAAACCAAGGCACCCGGGAAAAAAACAACGCAAACACAGGGAGAACATGCAAACTCCACACAGAAACACCAACTGACTCGGCCGAAGCTCGATCCAACAACGTTCTTCCTTCGAGGTGACAGCACTACCAACTGCACCACTGCATCGCCCTGTAAAAATACAGTTTTTTGTTAATGTTATCTCGTATTGTTACTATTAAATGCACATTTTATATAAAATTCATAACATTTTCATGTGGTAAATATAAATTGGAAAATATATTTTATTTTGGATATAAAATGACATGCGTCACTTGTGAAAGATTTATTTATGGATTTAATTAATCTGTACTCAAACAACACGACCTTGCAGACTAAAATACTACTATAGTTTAAAAATGTGTAATAGCCTGTTTAAGTTTTATCTCTTTAAATAAAATTTTAGCTTTAAAGTAAAATATAAAAGAAGTTTAATAGTTTTAAAAGAAATATGATAGAGGAACATTGATTTGGGTATACTCATTTTTTGACTGTGATTTTAAGATTAGATTAAGTCCAGTTCTGGCTTTGGTACAGACTAAACTAATGTATATGCAGAAATATATTATTGTAAAGCATACTGTAGAAAATATTAATGTACACGAGAGACCTATGAGGGGTGAAATCATTATGCTGACCACTGTATATACAGTATATGTAATAAGAGACAGATAAAGATAATATATTCCTTAATAAAACATATATTGTATGTTTAGTTAAATTAAATCCTAAATTAATTGTAAATTAATATAAAATAAATGGAAAATCAAATAAACAGAAGTACTTTGGGATTTACAGTTGAAGTCAGAATTGTTAACCCACAATTGATTTTTTATTCTTTATATATATATATATATATATATATATATATATATATATTTATTTTATTTATTTTTTTTTCCCTAAGTGATGTTTTAACAGAGCAAGGAAATTTTCACAGTATGTCTGATAATATGTTTTCTTCTGGAGAAAGTCTTATTTGTTTTATTTTGGCTAGAATAAAAGCAGTTTTTATTTATTTTTTTAATCATTTTAAGGTTAATACTATTAGCCCCCTTAAGCTATTTGTTTTCTATAGTCTACAGCCGTGGTTCTCAAACTGTGGTACGTGGGCTTCCTTCTAGTAGTACACAGAGAAATCCAATATGTCATATGTGCATGCAACAAATATTTCAAAAATTATTCCAATATGAATATTAAGACATATAGCCTATATTTATGGGGTCCAAGCGGCATTTCCAGGTTTTGATGAATAGCATACTTTAGGTTAACACTTTACATTTAGGTATAGGAGGTTTTTTTTTTACTTTAAAAAAAAAAGCAGTCTACCATTTTTAATTAACTTTGAAAAGCACAATTTAATTTAAACATTGATATATATATATATTTTTTTTTTTTTACATATAAGCACAGTACAGTGTTAATGTTCAAACTATTTATGTTTAAAGTGGCTATTAATTTTCTTAATAGTTAATCTGCCACGTTTTTAAACTGTGCAGGGTTGTAGCTGCTTTACTGGCCCTACTACGCTACTGTATTTCAATACAGTCATTAGGGTGGTACTTGGAAGGACTATTTTTTCTGAGGTGGTACTTGAAAAAAGAGAACCACTGATCTACAGAACAAACCATCGCTATAAAATAACTTGCCTAATTACCCTAACCTGCCTATAGTTAACCTAGTTAAGCCTTTAACTGTCACTGTAAACTGTATAGAAGTGTCTTGAAGAATATCTAGTCTAATATTATTTACTGTCACCATGGCAAATATAAAATAAATCAGTTATTAGAAATGAGTTATTAAAACTATTATGATTAGAAATGTGTTGAAGAAATCTGCTCCCCCTAAAACAGAAATTCGGGAAAAATTAAACAGGGGAACTAATGTTGAATAATTCTGACCAACTGTACGTTTGGTTCTCATCACAGCGTCAGTTCCGCAATGACCTGCAGGGGTCAGTAATGAATCGCGGCACCAAAACATCCGAACAGCACAGAAGAAACGACTTGATCAGATGGAGACGGAGACCGATCATCACAGACAAAACACGGAAAACCGTCAATTTGTTCTTCAGACCTCGGGATTTCTGAAGGGGTTTCTCTCCGCACGGGTCTGCCGTGAATCAAACTGAACCGCGTCAGTGTTTGAATATCGAGTTTAAAAATGTCTGTTGTTTTTGTTCCCAAAAAGCAACGCGGAAAAGCACAAATCAACCAGGAGACAATTCAGAGAGTGAGTGAACGTTAAAGCGTTTATTAATTCGGTCACAGACACACAATCCGGTAACGAACACACACGCGAAACTAAACGAAGTTAGTGTTAGTCGTGTCTAAGGGAGCTCTGCCCACGAAGTGTGTGTGTGTGTGACGTGTTTTCGGTAACTTGCCGTGAGCTGTGTAGATGTTTCTGATCCGTTCACCGGAGCAACTCCCGTTAGTTCGGCGACAGTTTGAGCGAGTCCGTTAGGAATTAGGATTGTCCGTTAAGATTTGAATTTAGAATTCGCGCCACTTGTGGTTTCTGCTGTTGTGAACGCGACAAATCATGATACTTAAAATAACAAATAACCTATCGGTTACAAAAGCAGTATATTTAATTTATCAATTCTCTAATCAACTTAAATCTTTATTTCAAATTGTTTTACTTTTATCAATCAAAAGAGTTGAAACAGATTCTCAATATAATCAGCATTTAACGTATCATTTATGGATTTAAGATCTAAAATAAACTAAACATTTAGCATCCATCAATATGCCATGCATTGTTATTTATATTATGGCATGACAAAAATGAAACAAGCTCAAAGTTAATAAGAAATATGTTAATATGCGAGTTAATATGCAGTATTAAAGACTTAAAATCTAGGTAAATGTCCAAAAAAAAGAAGAAAATAGATAAACTATAAATTAAATACAAAAAGTTTAAATAAAACTTATAAATATAATAAAAAAATAAATAAAATTTAGAAAAGGTTTCTGACTTAAAAATAGTCGAATCTGTAAAATAAATTAAGGTTTTCCTCAATGAATAATCAAAATTTAGAATATTTGAAAGTGTTTTCTAACCTGTTGTCGTTGTTTTTCAGCTGCTGGATGAGAATGATCAGCTGGTGAGATGCATCTCGGAGTATCAGCAGAAGGGTCGAGCCACCGAATGTGTTCAGTACGTGTTTCACGAGTCTCATCACATGCTTCAGTGTTTTAAGAAGATGTAAAATAAGTTTCTGATGTCCCTAGAGTGTGCATGTGAAGTGACAACTCTTTGAAACTGAGCCTTTTAGACTTTGATCCAAATTGTGGCGTTTTGGTGACTTGCTTTAAATGGAAAAGATAAGAGGGCGGTGCTACGAATGCCTGTGTGTCAGTATAGTGGCAGATTCAAAAACAAGAATGACATAAGCTGATGAGAGAGAGATAATCACTAGTGGGCGGGGCTTTCCCTCTCTGATGACACGTACAAAGAGAATGTCAATCAAAGTGTTTGTTTTTATCAAGTCTGATTATAAATAAATAATATTATGAAACGTTAAACATTAAAAGCTGGATATATTTAGACACACAACTGTGTTTAAACCCTAATAAAAGTTATTTATGCATAATAAGTCCCCTTTAAATGAAATGTTTTATCCTTGTTCTTCAGATACCAGCAGATTCTGCATCGTAATATCGTGTATTTGGGAACCATAGCAGACGCCAGTACAGAGATCCAGCCGGAGGACACACAGACTTCTGCTGACCACTAGACTTTACTCACTGTAAACATGGTACAATAAACGACCTGTTTTATTGCTCTGCAGCTCATTTATGATCAGATATTACGAGATGAAGCCCCAAATTATCCGGTTTAACATATTTTAAGCACAGGTCAAAACAAAAGCTACATAAATATGTGATGCTGAATGGTAAAGTAACATTACTTCACATATGTTTGAAATGTAATATTTAATATGCTTCGTGTATTTACATTAGGTTTTGTAAACTTACCTTGACAGTCGATAAATTCAGACGTCTCATCACTGATCTAAACTAGATCCACTTTATCACAAGAAATTAAATCATTTTTGAACAGCTCAGATATTGCTGCAGGGAAACACTGTTCATATGTACATATTTTGATCACGTTTTTGCTTCGATGTTTTGTTTTATACATGTATAAACCACAATAAACATGTATGTAATGGAAAACTAATGATCTTTTGCTTTTCTGCAATTAATATTACAATATACTTTCTTACACTTGGAGAGAATTTTTGGTGACACTTTATTTTAAGGTTCAGTTCTCATTCTTAGCAAACCATTCTGACTTTTGCTTCAAACTCCTAATTTTCTCCTTATTAATAGCTAAGGTAGTGGGTATGATTAGTGATATAGAATAAAATCATACCGAACTCTCTCTCTCTCTCTCTCTCTCTCTATATATATATATATATATATATATATATATATATATACACACACACACATGTATGTATGTATATATATATATAAATATTTATATATATGTATGTGTATGTATATATATTTATATGTATGTATATGTGTGTGTTTGTGTATATATAAACACACACATATATATATATAAACATATATATATACACACACACATATATATATATACACACACACACACATGTATATATAAACACACACACACACATATATATATATATATATATATATATATATATATATATATATATATATATATATATATATAAACATACTTAATTCTGGGCTTATGCTAGTTTTGTTGAATAAAACAAGCAAACAATGTTATGAAATATGACCACTAGATGCCAGAAAAATGTATTATTGTCGGCTAAGTGAAGGAGTTGTTCATAATGGAGATGCATTCATAAATGAATCGCTCCCTCCATCAGTGAAAGTAGGATAGGGTGTGTGTTTCAGGACAGGGAGGGCAGCTTGGTCCTGCATTCATTTCAAAGGAGCGCTACCCTGTACTAAAATGGAGGCTCTATTGACGCATTCCTTCAAATAGACAACAGCAGGGTAGGCGATATCTAATGTATATATCGATGGTTAATAAATGGTGAGAATTGGTCCCTAAAGTGTTACCCAAAATATTATTTTTGATTGGCTCTGATGATTCTGTAGGGGAGTAAATCATGCATAACATGTAGTAAACAAACTACAAGTGTAGATGAATGCAACACAGGAAGGATACAAATTAAATAAACTGTGCATGCGTTGTGGTTTTGTATATGTAAAAATTACAATGCAAATTCAACTCAACATTGCATATGGTGACACTTCATTTTGATGGTCCATTTGAGTATCAGTAGACTGTCTGCGTAATATCTGCTGAGTCTGCTCCTTCAACAGACATTAAACTGACTATAAGAAACTTTGCAAGTACATGTCAACTTACAATAACCCCAACAGTCTACGTATAATCTAATGATAATTAGTTGGCATGTTGTAACTTAAATACAACAAACTGACCATCAAAATAAAGTGACCTTGCACTGACTACTGCGGATGCACACATTGCGTTATGGATGCTGAACTGATACATTGCACAGCCTTAGTATATAAGCAAGTTCTCCACTAGTATGTTTATTTACTCTTCTTGATACCTTCACAAACAAATAAAAGCGTCCATTTAAAAACTGACCATGTTCACATTAAATTTGCACAATTATTAAATTAAATAAATGCATTGTCCTTATTTTAACTGCAATAAAGTAATAACTATAAACCAAAACTTTACGTGAATGAGGGAAAACGTGAAGGCACGCACACGCATTTATGACTCAAAGATGAAATGAGAGCAGATGTTGTTATATATTTATTTTTTGCATTGCTGGTACACTTGGAAATAATCAGTTGCCAGCTCTAGTGAACAATAAGCAACATAAGCCAAGCAGTCGCCCTCATGTCTTCTGTCAGGGCAACGTCATTTCTTTTATTTAATTGTTTCTTCTTTTTTTTTTAACTCCTTTTATTTTTTGAAGCCACTAGTAAACCATTTTGACACAGCTGAGAAATGTTGAGCGTTACAGTCCAAGGTCATTGAAGATGTTTTATCATAAAAAAAAAAAAAGCCGAAACAGTTTGGGAGGGAAAACACAGACGAAGCAACGAACCTACATTTTGATTGTGCAAAGCACAGAACTATAAAAAGATATATTTATATACAGCAAACGATTCTCTGTAAACATGGTAAGTATGTTAGTTTTCAGAAAACATGGTCATATCATAAATACAGGCAACATTGGCATCGGCAAACGTTACGAAATGAACATTCTGGGCTTTTAAGATGCAGCCCAAGAAAAAAACCCACAGAAACCATCGGAATCTGGGCTCAAAAATAACCAAAACAAAACACCCCAAATCTGACCAGAACCATTTATTAGTGTTTCTAATGGCGTATTTGGTAACCTCTGTTGGAAAAGAACAAAACAAAATGTGCTTCACATCTCGGGAAAATAACGTTTTACTTAATAATAAGCCTATATTACGCTAACTTATAGAGTAATGGTAAATGTGTACGAAAATACAAAAATAAGATTAATACTGTCAATATTTGTACAAGAAATATATTGAATCTGAAAGCAATATAAGGGTGTTTCTATGGGAAGTGTTAGTGTCGTTTCGTTCTGATGAAAGCCAATGGGAAACCAAGGCGAATGGAGGGGTTTGACCATACAGAAACGTTAGAATTCTCATAAAATTGTTTATTTCTCTTGTAATTCTAGATATAACTATAACTACGACTCCCAAAACGGCATTTCTCATCTTTTTTTTTTTATTTCAAGCACCATCCCCCCCCCTCTAAACAATACTTTGGTTAGAGAAAAATATCTGCAAGTGCTATTCAAAACAACATGGCACAAAGTTACGTACTGCTAACATCCTTTTTTTTATTCGTTTATATAGTTTTTTTATCTTCTAAATCTGTCAGATGTTGAAAAAAGTAGTGTATTTCTCTCAAATTACACCTCTGCTATGATTATTATATTTCTGCCGAGCCTGCTCAAAGCCTCTTCATAAAAAGTAAATTATTTATAGTTTCTTTTTTTATTATTTTATCTGTTTGTTTTTTTTTCCGAGTCATTTACAAGCTATGGAACAAGTAGCTGAGAGCTGCAGTCTTGACGTTTGGCAGTTACAGCTATTTTAACACAGTATCGTCATATGTGGGACTCCCGGTCAGCAATTGGCGCCCCCTTGTATCTTCGTAATGCATCTGCGCGAGTGAGCACGGTGGCCATGCATATCCAAAAAGTGGTGTAAACTCCAAGCCGAAAGCGGCCGCGGGACTGAAGTCTTCAGTCGTACGCATGCCAATGAAACAATTAACTTTTTAACCTTGTTTCTAGTCCAAGTATCTAAAATCCTTAAATGGAAGTGAAGCACTCAGTCAAGTTTATATTATTTTGCACATTGGTTTCCACTTTAATTAAAATATATATATAATAAAGTCGATTAATGTAACCGTTTTGACGAAAATCACATGTTTTACTATAGCTTTTAGACCTAGGGCGCTGTGTCTGATGTCACGGGGTTGGTCCTGTTCCCTCAGTTGAACAGATACAGTGGAAGTAAAGGACTGAAAAGGGAGACTGTAAAGCCTAATTTAACAATGCGCGAAGTTGTGGACGTGGAACTGGTGCAAATACAAGCATCACATGTGTCTAATGTACAAAAATATAAAGAGTTTAAATGCAAAAACCTCTAAATGCTGTATGAAATTTTCCTTTAAAAATTAGGGTTTTTTTTTCAGGCTACTGCATGTATGTTCGCTAATATCACTTTTATGGTAAAGAATAAGTGCTTTTCCTGGTCTTGAAAGTAAAATATCTGAACATAAACAAAGAAGGGTGGGAAAAACATTTATTTTCGATGAAAATTTGGAAGTTTCGAAGGAAGTTTTTGCATCTAAAACTCTTTTTTTCTCTTTTAATTACCGATCATTTCATGCACTTTGGTCCACTCTCTCTTTTACGCTGCCTGACTGGGTTTCAACAAGGTCCGGTACTGACATAATGGGGGCAGGAACTTTTACTTTTCACTACTACAGCTGCTTCAAACCAAACCAAGATCGATGTGGTTTTTCACATGGCAGGTTTCTACATCCTTTATACATGTTGAGAGATCGAGTTGATCAACTTGAAAAGGGAGAATGTCTTGACAATCCAAACAGACGCGACTTAGTAAAGCGTGAATTCATGAGTCTGAATGGAAATCCCCTCATCAGGCAGTGCTAAACCAGTGTGACAGAGTGGACCACAGTGCATCAAAAGAAAAGTATCAACAAAAAAAAATAGAAAACGTAAAAATATTATATATAAATATATATATAATATTTTTACGTTTTCTATACGTTTTCTCTTTATATTTTTGTACATTAGACACATGTGATGCTTGTATTGGCACCAGTATATATATATACATATACATATACATATATATATATATATATATATATATATATATATATATATATATGTGTATATATATATATATATATATATATATATATATATGACACAACTTTAATGCTTGTATTTACAGCAGCTCCACGCTCACAACTTCATGCATCGTGTTAAATTAGGTTTTCCAGTTTTCGTGTTCAGTCCTTCTACTGTAATCTGTTCAGCTGAGGGAACAGAACCAACCAATGTCAGACAAAGTGACTTAGCAAGATGGTGGTAAAATCTATAGTAAAACATGCCGTTTATTTATGGTTCAATTGGTTACATTAGTCAAGTTCGTTTACTATATTTTCATTAAAGTGGAAACCATTGTACAAAACAATGTAAACTGAGTGCTTCACTTGCCCTTTAAATCAAGAAGCATTTGCTAGACAAGCAAAAAATATAGTATTGATTTCAGAAATTAGTCAAAATGGAGTAAGCTTTTCCCTAAAACTACCAAAATAGTCTGCCAAAAGTATAAGCAAAATGTTATATCATGTCAAAATGAAAAACAATGTTATTTTGCTTGTTTTAAAGAAAAAAACACTTAATTTTACCACATTATTTTTGATTTTTTGCTTGTCTAGAAAATGCATTTTGATTTAAGACTAATTAAGATATCTGGACTAGAAACTTACTTATTTGGACTTTTCTTACTTACATTTTCTGTCTCATTTCTAGTCCAAATTTCTAAAAACTCTTAAATCAAGAAGCATTTTCTAGACAAGCAAAACACATTGTCTAGTTGTAAAAAAAAAAAATAATGTTCTAAAATTATATGAGTTTTTCCTTAAAACAAGCAAACTAATCTGCCAATGGGGTACGCAAAATAATTGTATGTCAAAAGAAAAAACAAGATTATTTTGCTTACCCCATTGGCAGATTATTTTGCTTGTTTTACGGAAAAACTCACTTAATTTTGGCATATTATTTCTTAAAACTAGAAAAGGCGTTTTGCTTGTCCATAAAATGCTTCTTGATTTAGGAATATTAAGATATTAAGACTAGAAACAAGACAAAAAAAACTAAGTAAGCAAAGCATGTTTTTGCATTGCATCTGCTGTAGGTCACGAATCATGCATGGTTTGGACAGTGTGGAAGGCAGTTGCGCTTCTGTTTGGATACAAAACAAAACATCATGTTATTAACCGCAGTGTTAAATGCAAAACCCCTTTATAAAAACGCACTAGACCAGGTTGACGTGGGTTTTTTAACGGCACACTTCACCACACGATGATCAATCTCAGCTAGTGATTTGGTAATAAAATATGATCTGCTGCCAGCGTGACGCTTTATAAACGCTGACCTGGGGTGGACGTCCAGCACGGGTCCAGCTCAGTACTGGTGCAGGTATGATGGTCGGTGTTCAGGTTTCAGAGGGAAGGTTTTGAAGCCTTTGCTCAGGATCTTGTGCTGGGAAACCTGCTGCTGCTGCTGTTGTTGTTGTTGTGTGAAAGGAAAGCCTGAAGATGGAGGGCAGTCATTGGCTGTCGACCACACTGGAGACTGCAGCATTTGCATGGAGTCGCCCCATTGGCTGGAGGGTATGGTCATCTGGTAGAGGGAAGAGCTGGGATTGGGCATGGTGTTGGTGTGGGAGGAGTGCTGCCACGGGGCTTTAGGAGGCCAGGTTTTAGTTTTGCTGTCCTGTAACGTAAAAAAAACAACAACACACAATGTGCAATGTGAAGAAAAAAGTTGACATATTTCACATTCAATTTAACATAGTAACACTTTAGTTGAAGGTCCAGTGAAATTAAAATAAAGTTTTTAGATGTTGCTATCAGTATTTTATATCTTCAATGATATCTTCAAGCTAGTGTGGGACAAAACAATGACAAAATTCGCATTTAGAAGATATAGAGCTGATATAAACATGTAAACAACACTGCAACACTTGAAACAACACTGCCTACAACTATGTGGACACCTATTCACTGCACATATCGCTGTCAATCTACATCAGCTGTTTTCGTTTCTGTTATCCGTGAGGGTTTGGCTCTTTGGTGCCATCTTGTGTCTGAATAATGCGCAGGTTAGTGTATACTCCATCAGCTGTTTTCGTTTCTGTCAGCTTTGCATTTAATAATAAAAAACTATTACGGCTCGTAACAATAATTTGTGTCTAATTTTTATGTTTTGTGGCAAGAAGCCATGCAATAAATGGAATAAAGTACATCTAGGACAGACAGTTATTGCACAATAAACCCCTTCAACCTTATACAAAAGTGCTCCGCTTTGTGTTGGGCTGCCGATAAACCTGTCAGGCTTTATTCTGCGACAACCTCCCGGATGTACTTTATTTTATAACTCATAAAATATGATCATATTCTACATCATTAACCCTATCTAAAACGTAAACCCAACCCTAATAACTAATAACAGCAGCAAACTAGGAGTCTATGAGATAAAAGTGATAATTATTGGTTTATTAATAGTGAGAATTGTACCATAAAATAATACAATAGGAGTTCAACATTAGAACTAACGTCACTTTGTAATAACTGTTGAAAAAACCTATATAACTATAGTAACCCTACTTTTCCTAAAGACAAAACACAGAGTTCAGTGTATTTCCTCACTGACTGGCCATAACAGTCAAACTGAGCACATGCAATTCAGCATCCGCGACTTTTTCCCATGCATTCGAGTATGTGTGTATAAACAAACACCACATTTTCACATTGACTTTTTTCCCAAAATATCTTCTTGTGATCAACAGCAGGTTTGAAACCACTTGAGCATGAGTAAATAGTAAAAGAAAATAATAAATAGGGGGTGAACTATCAATCCACAATTAAAACAACAGTTCAGGGGGGGGGAAGAGTTCTGTTTTTACAAATGAACTCTTTATATGATCTCTAAACAGAAAAAAGTGCTGTTTTCAATTGAAAAAAATATTGCAAAAACAAAAATATTTCTAAAAATAGCCCATATAATATAAAAAACACCAAATGTCAAACTCCACCTGCTCTACTCATGCATTTTCCATGTGTGTGTTTATCAGCTGAAGTGTTATTTGTGTTTTTACCTGACTGCTGTCGTCACTGGTGTGGTGGAGTGGAGGAGAGGGCAGAGTGCAAACTTCCTGTTCACCACAGCTGTGTTTCCTACCAAACACACTCACGTCAAACACACTGGATCGCCTCAGATAAAAGTGTCTGATGAATATATGAAATGCTATTTACCGTCTCTGTTTAACAGCCGCCACCAGGTCCGGCCCAGAGAACATGGAGAACAGACTGTCCCCATTGGCTGAGGAGGTCTCGTCACTTGAGCTGGCCGAATCCCCCTGATTGGCTGACCAGCCGCTATTGACCGCCTCCCTGCTCAAAAACAAACACTGATGTCAGCTGCATATATACGCATGCAAATGATCAATATTTCTATATACAGTTTAAGTCAGAATTATTAACCCTCCTTTGAATTTGTTTCAAATATTTCCCAAATGATGTTTAAAGGGTCACGAAAAACCAAAACACATTTGTTTGAGCTGTTGACAGTGGTATATGTGTCCCACACTGCTAAAAACACTATTAGGACACCTATATTTCACTACAAAGTGTAAATTGGTTGTTTTTGCATTATTTCAAGCAAATACGTACTTCCGGTTTGAAACGAATTTTTGAAGCTGCGTCACGGTCATGACATAATAGCGTGTATTCCAGCGTGCAGACTGGACGTCTGTGCCAGAGTGTGTCTTATTACGTCTTACAGTGTGCTGCATTAATGCATGAGTAAGGCTTGGTTCAAACCAATCAGCGCGCTCTATTGTGCAACTTCATTAATATTCATTACTGTCACAGTGTTTAGACGACAGAGACGCCACGTTGTGTTGGCAAAACAAGCGTGAAGTGTTGCGTTTATAGTTTGCTGCAGTTAAGTTTCGTTTTCATTTTCTCTCTGTGAGAGCTCAGCTGGAGTCACGTGTGGATTAACAGTGTACGCGACGCTCGACAACAATAACTTACGTGTCTAAGGAGGATTATTGTTTACCTGAGAGCTGTTCTCATCTGCAAACGCTGAGATCCGGATTCGCTTGTAGTCTCCTCTTAATAAAGACGCGGCTCTAGTTGCTGGTGATTGTCCTGTCTCTACAGATTTGGTAAGTGAGCGACCAGTGCTCTTTGTTTATTCAGTTTGTTCGAACTAAGTTAACTATTGCACCGAGTGTAAACATGTTAGCACCACAACCAAACTTTAACCTCGTGTAGGATTTTCACCGCATTTAGTGACCGGAATAACACACGCGGCTTTCTGACGTTACCTGCCGTGTGCATCTAAGTTTCCGGGAAATGCGGAGGGTTTTTTTCTCTCATTCGCCGTGCGGTATCAAACATTGCATGAAAAATACACGCTTAGAGCAGATCCTCGAATCAAATATCACATTTGTCGCGAGGGGCATGAATGAATTCCCTGAATGAAAGAGCCAAACTGCAGTTAAAGTCCAACACTTAATAATTTGGCAAATAATTCGACTGAAGATGTCCCTGTAAACACAGTCACTTTCTCCCGTGTGTGTGTGTGTGTGTGTATTTCGACTCTGAAACTTGCGCGTGGCCAAACAGACACTCCCACACCATCCCACTTTAGTTCCTCCGACACTCCCCCTAAACAGAGCTGGACACGCCCACTTTTCTGCCTTTTTCTAAGTAGAGGTGTGAAAACACCCTGCTTAAACAATATCCTCATATTTGTTCTTCTGGAGAATGTCTTATTTGTTTTATTTCGGCTAAAACAAAAGCAGTTTTTAATTTTTTGAAACCATTTTAAGGTCAATATTATCAGGCCCCTTAAGCAATATTTTTGATTGTCAAGAAGAGTGGTCCCGAACCTTTTTATCATCACGGACCGGTCAACACTTGACAATTTGATAGCGGCCCGGAGGGGTTGGACAGTGATGGAGGTGTACTTAGATTGCTAGGTGACCATCATCCGTTTCCTCAGAGGATGAAGTTAATAAAGCATTGCTGCAACTCTAATAAAAGTTGTATATATGGAAGTTGTGTGTGCACACAAAATCCAGATTTCCCCAGATTTTTAGCCCATCGGTGAGTCTATTTTTTTTACTTGTGTAAATGTGTGTCATTTAAACTAATTTCAGTAATGTAATTGACCAATATGAAATGGTTTGTATGATTTATTTACAATACAGTTTGTACAGTAACATTTTCTGTCTTTTAGTAGAGATTTTATACGAGAGATGTGCTTTGTTTACCAAATAAGTGGATCTAATTGGATTTGCATTGTAAACATTAAAAGTTTATTATTTTTATTTTATATATTAAGTTTTAGTTATGATACTCCCAAAATAATTCCACATAAATCCACAGATTTTTTACAAAACTCTGAGCAGAAATGGTAAAAATGTCCGCAGATTCTCAAATTCTGTGTGGACCTTCTGAACAGTCAATCATTGTCACATTACTCGTGGTGCTCTCACGGCAATTGAGATGTTTTTAAATGAGTGTGCCTGGAAGCGTGCGCAAACGGTGCACCACCATTGGAATTAACAAATTTGTACATGGAAAAGACACGACATGTAAACGGCCCCCGTCCTGATTTGTTGACAAATGAGCTGCGGATCTATTCATAGGTCCTTCAGTGAGCATTTTCCACTTAGCAAAGAAACTTTACAAAGAGGTCTGTTTCTTGCTTATTTTGCTAGATTGTGGGTTAAATGTGTGCGCTTAAGTGACCAAGATGTAACCAAGAGAATACATTTTTCAAAATAAAAGATTGTTTAGACTATATATAATAAATAAAACGGATAAAATTAATGATTTTTTGTGCAGCCCGGTACTAATTAATCCACTGACTGGTATTGGCCCGGAGGTTGCAGACCGCTGGTCTACAGAACAAACCACTGTTATACAATGACTTGCCTAATTACCCTAGTTAAGCCTTTAAATGTCACTTTAAGCTGAATACTGGTATCTTGGAAGAACATCTAGTCCATTATGATGTGCCGTCATCATGACAAAGAGAAAAGAAATCAGTTATTAGAAATGAGTTATTAAAACTATTATCATTAAATCTTTTCCTTAAAAGGAAATTGGGGAAAAATAAACAGGAGGGCTAATAATTCAGACGTCAACTGTACAGTAAAAGAAAACATTGCAATGTGAGATTTTTCCAATCTGGTGCAGCCTCAGTGTGTGTTAGTTGCGATGGCGCTCACCCTTCACTGTAGTATTCGGGGTGAGTCCAGCCCCGGTGCTGCTCGTCTGGATGAGGCCAGTTACTGCGACTGTTGCTGGGCCGCCGAACATGTTGAGCCTGCCGTTTCTGCTGCATGGCCTGATTGACCCCTGCTACATACCGCGCAAACTCTGGATCCGAGCCCACTGACAGACAGAAACAGAGAGAGAATTCTGAAAACAATTCATTTCATAACTACACATACATGAATCTATTAGAAAACCATTAGAAAGAAAACACTACATTTCCATCAAAAATTGCACAAAACCCATCCACGACACCATTTTAAAAGTTAATAGATCTTCCATGGTTTTATACAATTTAAAATCAAAATCAACACCCTTGATTTTATCACTAAGCACCTTTATTTAATACAAACTTTTAGAAACAATGCATGTCTCATTGAGACAAAACTAACTTCCAGATCATGAAATGTTCTCAGCCAAAACAATGCATCATTTTCAACCCAACACAAAACGTTTTAAACAGCAAATGCCTTCAAACTTGCCTACTTCCTCCAACGAGAAGTAAAAATGTGAAATCATGCCTTAATCTTGCTTTTATAAACCCTATAAAAATAAGTTTATCTTGACAAATAGTCAGAGAGCGAGAGCGACAGAGAGAGATGATGTGTCGCGCTGTGTCCTGCTCTTTGTTTAAAGTGTACAGCACAGCAGAAACACATAATAGAGAGCAACACACACACACACACACACACACACACACACACACACACACACACACACACACACACACACACACACACACACACACACACACACACACGCACGGATACCAGCACTGACCTAAAGAAACCTGCTGTACAGCACAGTACTTACACTCTCACAGCTCTAACACCAGGGCATACTTTACTCAAGTGCTATCAGTGTATTGTAATGACAAATGCAACTAATGACAAATAAAATGATTGCAATTTAGAAGAGTGATTAAACAAATATAAATATATAATCCATAATGGTGTGTGTGTGTGGCGATATATACACACACATTAAAATACATCAAAACAATATATTTATATATTAAAAATGAATAAAATAATATAATATATATTAATATATGAATGACAACATACTACATTAAATTACATTTGTAAATAAAATATAAGTATTAAAATATAATACATATAATAATATACAATAAAATATATAATATATAATAATATAATAATATTATATTACACACAGACACACACACACACAATTTTACATTTTATATGGCTAATAATACTGACTTAAACAGTTGTCATTTGTTTAATAAGTGTTTTATATATAATAATAATTAATAAAATAATATATAATTATTTTAATTATATATAATTCATTAATTTTAAAATACACGTACCTATATATTTATGTAATGCATGTTTAAAATATTTGTAGTATATATGATACACTACATTAAAATAGATGTTTAAATAAAAGGTAATAAATTATATACTCATTCAATCGTTAATTTTCCTTTGGTTTAGTCCCTGATTTATCAGCGGTCGCCACAATGAATTATATATATATAGTTATTTAAAATGATTAAATATGAAATAAAATTGTTTTAAATTGCAAATATATAAATAACACATATTTTGCTAATACGTTGTCAACGTTTTATATTTCATTTTATTCCAGACAAACTAAAAAAAATGTAGGAAATAGTAAATACAGTGGAAAAAATAAACAAAAACCTCTTGGAAACTATATATATAAACATATATGTATACATATATACGTGTACACGTCTGTGTGTGCATGTGCAAAATTATATACAAGTGCCTATAGAAAATCATCATCCCTTGTGAAAATCTATACCTTTATTTGCATTACACCTTGCTTTCGATATCAGGCAGCTAAAGTCTGGAACAGCCTTCCTAGCACAGTTCGCGAGGCAGACACTCTGTCAATTTATAACTCGATTAAAGACACATCTCTGCATTAGCATACGCATAAAACACAAATGCATTTGAAATCCTCGAAAGGATTGTTATTCTGCATTATTTAGGGCAACCAGAGCCGGAAACACTTCCCTAAACACATTATAATTTGAACTACATCTGCGCTTATGTTAGTCTGTTTTTCATTATCCCGAGATCTCTATAACCCTGGACCAGGCCGTATCCTGAGCTGATGCTGTGGTGGTCATGGAGGAGCGGAGAGCATGAGACTGATTCCTGTAAGACCCCAGTGGCGAATTAGTCTTCGCCTTGATCCTGAAGAGCCAGCCTGTACACCAGCCGGTGACCTACTCACAACTGCAGCTTCTCCACGACGGACGTCCAGCGTTCTCCAACCTCGGGTGTCTAGTTTGGCCAGAGCAGAAATGGTCGTGCCCAACAGAGGCTGCTTTCTTCTCTAGGTTTTTTCCTTCACTTTTATTAAAATGGTGAAGTTTGTTCCTCGCCGCTGTCGCCACTGGCTTGCCTGAGTTGGGTCTTGTGGAGCAGCGCATCGATGGATTTGCTCTCCAGTGTTTGGACTTTCAGCAGTGAACTCGACTAAACTTCTACTCTGAAAACTAGACTGACACGGTTTCAGTTTACTACCATCTTCTAAGTTAAGCTGCTTTGCCAAAATCTACATTGTAAAAGTGCTACAGAAATAAAGAGGAACCTTCAGGTGAAGTTGTAGAAAGGCTCAGGTTAGGTGAAGAGGCTGGAAAAACATTTCCAAGTGATTTGGATTGTGATTTGACTTCAGGCTTTATGATAAATAGAGTCATTATTTCAGAGTAGGATGAGGATTTTCTATAGGCACTGTACATATACACACAGAGAGATCAATAAGTGAATGCAAGCATGTGCTCACCTGCGGGGTCAAAGGGCATGGAGTCTCCCAGCACCCCAAACAAGCTCTGCTCGCTCTGCTCTCGGTTAGGCCAGGTGTTGTTGCGCGGCCCCTGCGGAGGCTTGTGTCCCAGCATCTCCGACATCATGCTGTCCATATAGGAGCTGACCAGCCCCAGACTGTACAGGTCAGAGCTCAGGTCCGGCAGACCCGGCGCCGGCCACTGCGGCAGGGGTCCGATCGGAGACATGCCTGCCATTGGGCCCTGGGGCCACTTACTGGGGGCAGCTCTGGATTGCGGCGGAGGCTGCTGGGGGGACACCGGTGCCGGCTGTTGCTGAGATTGACCAATGGGCTGCAGGAGATGCTGGTAAAACGGCAGAGACTGAGAGTTTGGCTGCGGTGGCTGCTGTTTTGGTGTTGAAGGAAGCTGCTGCTGCTGTTGTTGCTGCTGTTGTTGCTGCTGTTGTTGTTGTTGCTGTTGTTGTGTTTGCTGTAGGGTTTGAGTCAGTGTCTGCACAGCATTATGGGCCTGCAAGTAGACACATGATTATATTCAATCATTCAATATATCGTGATCATGAACAATACTGAGATCATGAGCATGTTAACATACCTTTCCAGATGTTTTTCCTTTTATTATCATCATCATCATTACTATTTATTGTAATTACTGCATACTTTTTTCTATCTATCTATCTATCTATCTATCTATCTATCTATCTATCTATCTATCTATCTATCTATCTATCTATCTATCTATCTATCTATCCGTTTGTCCATCGCTCTATGTATCTTTCATATCTATCCATGCGTCCATCCATCCATCTCTTTCATATTGATCCATCTATCTATCCAATCAATCATCTATCTATCCTATCCATATGATCCATCCATTCCTCCATCTATCTATTAATCCATCTATCCTATCTGTACATGCATTTATCCATCCATCCATCCATCTATCCTTCCATCCATCTATTTATCCTATCCAACAATACATGCATCCATCCTATCCATCCATCCATCAATTTATCTCATCTATCCATCTATCAATCAATCCATCCATCCACCCAGCCATCGGTTTATCCCATCCATCCATCCATCCATCTCATCTATCCATCCATCCATCCATCCACCCAGCCATCGGTTTATCCCATCCATCCATCTCATCTATCCATGCATCCACCCATCTATCGGTTCATCCTATCCATCCATGCATCCATCCATCCATTCTATCCATCCTTATACATCCATTTATTCTATCAATCCAATCATTCATTTATCTCATCTATCCATCTAGCAATCAATCCATCCATCCACTCATCGGTTTATCTTATCCATCCATGCATGCATCCATTCCTCCATCTATCCCATCCATCCATCCTTCTATCCTCTCCATCTATTTATCCTATTATTCAATGCATCTCATCCATCCATCCATTTATCTCGTCTATCAATTTATCTATCAATCTATTCATCCATCCCCCCATCGGTTTATCCTATCCATCCATCATCCATCCCATCCATCCAGCTATCCTATCCATCCTTCTATCCTTTCCATCCATTTATCCTCAATCCATCCATCTTATCTCATCTATCCATTTATCAATCCATCCATCCATCAATCCACCCATTGATTTATCCCATTTATCCATCCATCCTATCTGTACATCCATCCATCCATGCATCCCCATCCATTTATTCTATCAATTCATCCATCTTATCCATTTATCTCATCTATCCATTTATCAATCCATCCATCCATCCATCCACCCATGGATTTATCCCATTTATCCATCCATCTATCCCATCCATCCATCCATCTGTACATCCATCCTATCTTTACATCCATCCATCCATGCATGCATCCTCATCCATCCTTCTAACCTCTCCATCCATTTATCTTATCAATCCATCCATCTTATTAATCCATCCATTTATGTCATCTATCCATATATCAACCCAGCCATCCATCCACCCATTGATTTAACCCATTCATCCATCCATCCTCTCTGTACATCAATCCATCAATTTTTTTATCCGTCCATCCCATCCATCCATTCATCTATTAGTCCATCCTATTCATCCATTAGTTCATCCTATCCATCTATCCATCCATCCATCTCTTCCTTTTTCTATCCATCTTTCTATGCTTGTCGCTGGAATCTTGTTGTGTATTTAAGTACTTAGTTTTTGTTTACTAAAAAAACCATTGCAACAAGGACATCTGCCACCGTCATAAGCTTACCTGTGAGGATGGCGGCGGTTTCAGATCGGCTGCGTTTGTAGACGCCACAGAGTTTCGTCTCTTGACCAGCGGAGACGCCTGCTGGGATTTGCCCATGTTGAATCCCGAGAGGAAGTCGATGACGTCCTGCATCTCCTGATCGGTGGGCAGATTCATGCCCTGCTCATCAGAGGCGGCACCGTTAGAAATCTGCGGATCTGCGGTGTTCATGCTGCTCATCTGCAGGAGGCTGTGCAGACGTCCTGCTTTATCATCTGACCCTCCTCCACTGCTGCTGCTGCGGGACGGGGTGCTGGGGATGGAGAAACTGCCCCCCGCACTGGAGTTAGAAGAGTTAGCTTTCTTGGTGAAGCGAGAGGTGAGTTTGGAGATGGTTTTCGGGAGGCCGCCGGAGGATTTGGTGCTGTTTCCGGGAGGAAGATCCACGGGGCTGCCATAATCAGATGTGTCCCGCTGGAGCTGGATCTGGATGGTGGGAAGAGTCTGTTCCCTGCACACAAAAACCACCAACAGATAATTGTACATATGCTAGAATCCTCTATGGGGCTTTCATTGTTTTTATTTCAGTTGTTCTCTTTTTTTTAATGTCATGATTTTATTTTCATCTCAGTTGTTTATTTATTTTGTTATTCTTTAAGTTTGTTTTACATAGATGAAAATATTACATTTACAAAAACATAAATAACTGATCATACTATGAGTTTTTATTCATGTCATGGTTTTATTTTATTTTCAGTCTTTTTTTAAATACAGTTTATTTTACATATAAAAAAACAAAAACAAAAATATTTGATCACTGACACCATCATGGTTTTAAAACATGTCATGTTTTTATTTTCATTTATGTGGTTTTGTTTTTTTTTTTGTTAAAAAAGTAAAAATGATTAAAATGACAAAAACTATATAATAAATATAATATTTATAAAACTATAAAATAAATATAATAACTAAAAACATTATTAAAAAACATTTTATAGACTTTAAATATTCATTAAAAAATCAATAAACAGACTGAATTTGAACACTGAAAATCTCAAATAAAGAATGTACTGAAAAAATGTAACCTAAAAGACTAAGTATTCATGTACAGTATAACATATTAAAACTAAACTAATTTGTGCATAAATTAAATTAGTCATTTTCAAGCTACAAAAATACAAAATGTATGTAATATCTAAATATACATTTTAAAAGCATCTAGATTATATTTAAAATCATATATATGCATATATAAATCTATTAAAAAAATCTATTAAAAATCTATTAAAACATGTATTTTAATGTATAGTTGTTCTTCCATTTGTGTTAGTATTATTTTTTATATTGATTTATTCGTATTGTAGTAATTAAACTTGTATAAAAATGAGAAATGTTGCTTACGTCTATATAACACATTCATTACATACATCAGTATTTTCAGATTAACCCCTTTCCTAGATTTCTGGAGAAGTGTGTGTCTGCTGAGCACTGGCTGAGCTGTAGTGAATGTGTTTGATCAGTAATAACGCTGACACTGACTTGCGCTCTTTCCAGCGCTGCAGGTCAAACACAGCTGTGTAAAGCACATCCACCAGACCCAGAGTCTTCTCCGGATCCAGACTGCGCTGCAGCAGAGACATGGTGGCCGGATCCTCCTTCAGACACCTGCACCACATCACATCACATCACATTACTTTGTGTTCTTTCTTTCTTTAGGTCTGTCTGTCTATCTATCATTCTGTCTGTCAATCGTTCTGTCTATCTGTCGATCTATTATCTGTCTAGCTATCGTTCTATATATATCTTTCTGTCTGTCATTCTATGTCAAACTATCTGTTTATCGTTCTCTCTATCTGTCAATCTCTGTCTGTTTATCCATCTATCTATCTATCTATCTATCTATCTATCTATCTATCTATCTATCTATCTATCTATCTATCTATCTATCTATCTATCTATCTATCTATCTATCTATCTATCTATCTATCTATCTATTTATCCATCTATCTATCTATCCATCTATCTATCATCTGTCTGCTGTTCTGTTTTTATCTATCGTTCTGTCTGTCTATTATCTGTCTGCTGTTCTGTCTGTATCTATCATTCTGTCTGTGTCTAATTCTCTGAATCTGAGTGTCTGTCTGCGCCACTAGAATTCAATCTACTGCTGTAATTTCCAGAATCTGAGCATATAAAGTTACTCACCATGTAGAAGGAACCTGTATCACAACCTTGGATCCTTCAAGACAAATCTGAGGGGCATAAGCTTCCTTATTCTCAATCTGAGCTGTGTCGACCACAACCTGCATACACACACACACAAACACCTCATCATCAATCATTATTTCATTATTATTATGATATGTCATGCAAATGCGCAAGTAAACAGATTTCATTAGGACGGTTTCCAGGAAAAGAAACAGAAATGAAGTATTTCCCCCAGTTCTTGAAAAGAGCCTGTAATGCGTATAAAACGGAGAGGGCGTTTCCTATCAAACAGGAAGTGGGCTATTGTTATTAATAGCGCAGGTGTATCCTCAATGTGACTCAGATGATGGAGACTCTCCACTAAAAACACACACCCAAAGGTCACGGCCACTGACCCCACACATACACACACACAAAACCCACACACACACACATCAAGGGCAGAAACAGCGTCATGGAAACGGCTTTCTGATTATTCAGAACTCTTTTTTTTCCTGCAGCCGTCGCTGGACAAAAGCTTGGAGTTTTCAGCCTTAATGGCGTGTAAACATTACTGAGAGACAATCAATAAAAATATAAATTAACATCAGGGTTATCCGAGAAATCTAAAACTTCTTTTTCAGTTTAAAATGTTTACTTAAAATGTTCATAATTTAATTGTGTATTTAATAAGTGTTATATTCATAAAATGAAGCTTATGAATCGTCAAACAGAAAATAGAAATGCACAAATAAAAGCTAGGATAAAAATACAGAAGACAATAAGAGAGTAACATAACACAGTTCATAGCTGAACATTTACTAATGCATTACAATTTTAATTTAGACCTCGGACAGTTGTAAACTCAATGTAATGGGCTCCTAATCAAAAATAAATGACTGAATAAATAAATAAACGATTCAATAAATAAATAAACTAATGATGAAAACAAATAATTGAATGAATGAATGAATTAACAAATAAATAAAGTAATAGATTAAATGAATACATAAATGAAAAAATGAACAAATACATGAATGAATAAATGAAAGATTAAATGAACATATAAATAAATAAAAGGAATAAATAAATGAGTGAGTGAGTGAATGAACAAACAAATAAATTAATGAATAAATTAATGAATAAATAAATGAATAAAAGAAAAAATAAATAAACAAATAAATAAATAACTGAATAAATAAATAAATGAACGAACAAAGTAATAAATACATGAATAAATTAATGAACAAAAACAATAAATGAATAAATAAACAAATTAATAAAAATAACATGAATAAATGAACGAATAAATAAAATGAATGAATAAATAAATAAAGAATAAATGAACGAATAAATAAATAAATAAACAAATTAATAAATGAATGAGTTAATACATAACACTTTGTGTCAGCCCTTTTAATTTATCAAATTTGTATTTATGAAGCTTTGGTGTTTCCGCCTTTGATGAATATTTAATTTGCACCTTTTGTGTTTTTTGGTTGAGCTCCCAGTTAAGAGTGATGCGCGTGCTTTTGTACAGTTTTTCAGTGAATACATAAATAAACAAAAGGTTAAATGCATAAATGAACAAATGAATAAATAAATTCACTGATAAATAAATAAAATGAATGCATAAACAAATAAATTAATAAATAAATTGATTAATAAATGAATGAGTGAACGAACAAATACATAAATAAATTAATAAATAAACAAATGAAAAAATTAATACATGAATAAATAAAATAAATTAATTAATTAATAAACAAATTAATGAATAAATAAATAAATAACATCTCCCATGGCCTGCACAGTCCCTGGACCTAAATACTATTGAGCCACTTAGGGGTGTTTTGGAGCCATCAGCCAAATTAATCAGTAATAAAAAAAAACGAAGACATTTACATCTGAGTGGTTGTTGATTTGAACTATTTATTTGAACGACATTTGCCATTTGTCCTTGAGTCAAGGTCTAATTTCATTGGCTGAGACCGCTAGGATGAATAATAAGCTGCAGATATGCCCTCATGTGAATAGTACTGTTATTCAGGCAGTCAAAGGTGTGAAACTCACCAGTCCGGCCTGTCCGAACAGCAGCTGAACGGCTGTTTTACAGGCTCCTCTCCAGCTGGAGGGACACACCTGATTCAGCACCTCAGTGATGGGCAAATCCTCTCGCACCGACACACCGTTCTGATCCACAGCATCCTTGATCAGCTGCACCACGGCATGCTGGGAAGAGAATAGATTACATGAACGTCTGATGTAAATTGTAACGTGCACAGATGGACAATTGATCTCATTTGTCATATTTAATCATATAAATACTGATTAAGAACTCAGTAGAAATAGGGAATATGTGAAAATTTGTGTGAATTTATTCTTGTGATGTAAAGCTGAAATTTCAGCATGATTACTCCAGTCTTCAGTGTCACATGATGCTTTAGAAGTCAGTATAAGATTATTTGCTGATTGAGAATATTTCTGAATATGATCAATTTTAATTTTTTAAACTTTCTTTGATGAACTGAATAAACAAATGAATGAACTATTAAATGAATGAATGAATGAATTATTAAATGAACGAATGGATAAATGAATGAAATAATTAATAAATTACTGAATAAATGATTGATAAACAAATGACTAAATAATAAATAAACAAAAATAAATGATTAAATGATTGGATGAATAAATTAATAAATAAAATAATAAATTTAAAAGATTAAATGAATGAATAAATGACTATAAATAAATGAATAAAAACTGAATGAATGAATGAATGAATGAATGAATGAACAATAAATAAATGAAATATACACAAGTCTTTATCCATCGTTAAGTTGGCAGAACTATCTGGGATTTTTGGTAAATAATAACGAAAAGTTATATTTAATTTAAACGGTTGTTGTTGTTGTTTTGTGTTTTATAACAGTGATGTCAAATACATTCAGACACCACCACAACCAGCAGAAGTTGGTTCATCAGCTGTCAATGTGAAGGTAAGATGATCTTATTTATGAAAACAGAATATTTACCGTTACCAATATACACTCACTGGCCACTTTATTAGGTACACGTACAACTGCTCTTTGATGCAAATTTCTGATCAGCCAATCACATGGCAGCAGCTCAATGCATTTAGGCATGTAGACATAATCAAGACGATCTGCTGCAGTTCAAACAGACCATCAGAATGGGGAAGAAAGGGGATTTAAGTGACTGAATGTGGCATGATTGTTGGTGCCAGACAGGCTGCTCTGAGTATTTCAGAAACTGCTGATCTACTGGGATTTTCACGCACAACCATCTCTAGGGTTTACAGAGAATGCTCCGACAAAGAGGAAATATCCAGTGAGCGGCAGTTCTGTGGGTGCAAATGTCTTGCCAGAAGTCAGAGGAGAATGGCCAGACTGGTTCCAGCTGATAGAAAGGCAACAGTAACTCAAATAAGCACTCGTTACAACCGAGCTCTGCAGAAGAGCATCTCTGAACACACAACACGTCCAACCTTGAGGCGGATGGGCTACAGCAGCAGAAGAGCACACCGGGTGCCGCTCCTGTCAGCTAAGAACAGGAAACTGAGGCTACAATTCACACAGACTCACCAAAACTGGACAATAGAAGATTGGAGAAACGTTGCCTGCTCTGATGAGTCTCCATTTCTGCTGACACATTCGGATGGTCGGGTCAGAATTCAGCGTCAACAACATGAAAGCATGGATCCATCCTGCCTTGTATTAGCGGTTCAGGCTGGTGGTGGTGGTGTAATGTTGTGGGGGAGATTTTCTTGGCACACTTTGGGCTCATTAGTACCAATTGAGCATCATGTCAAGGCCACAGCCTACCTGAGTATTGCTGCTGACCATGTCCATCCCTTTATGACCACAGTGTACACATCTTCTGATGGCTACTTCCAGCAGGATAACGCACCATGTCATAAAGCCTGAATCATCTCAGACTGGTTTCTTAAACATGACAATGAGTTCACTGTACTCAAATGGCCTCCACAGACACCAGAACTCAATCCAATAGAGCAGCTTTGGGATGTGGTGGAACGGGAGATTGGCATCATGGATGTGCAGCCGACAAATCTGCAGCAACTGTGTGATGCTATCATGTCAATATGGAGCAAAATCTCTAAGGAATATTTCCAGTATCTTGTTGAATCTATACCATGAAGGATTAAGGCAGTTCTGAAGGCAAAATGGGGTCCAACCCGGTACTAGCAAAGGTCTACCGAATAAAGTGGCCGGTAAGTGTACAGACATTAAAAAAATAAATAAATACAGTATAAAGCATTTAGTAACATTGACATGGCAAGTTTAGGGGTTGGGCTAGTTTTGACTGGCCATTGAGCTACTTTTGTTGTGAAAACCTGGCAACCCTGATCTTATCTCCAGCCACTATAGTACCGTTTTAAGCTTGAGGTTGTCTGATGCGCTTTCATTGAAGGAAACTCCTCGGAGAAGATGAGAGCCGATCTGCACAGGGATTGTAGGTAATTCACACTGGATGGGCTGAGACGTGGTGTGAAAGCGTCCGGCCTGCTGGGCTTCAGCGTCACTACAGCAGCCCTGCAAACACACAACGCAAACCACATGACCAACACAAACAAAAGACCAATGCATGAAGAAACACACCAGCAGGGTCATGTTCATCAGTAACAGTCTGCAAAACGAGATAAGAATGAACCCTTGTGGCTGTTGGGTGGTTTTCATCCATCTGGGCTGATTTTGAGTCTTAATTTGGCCTCAGCTTTCTCTGTGTTTCAGCAAATGGAATGATTTTTGCTGACATATCCTATTTTGACACATGTTTTGGGAAAATGCTTTAAAAATGTTCAAAAGCTCAACAATACCCTGGAATTGACCACCCTTTGGTTATGTTGGGGGCTGTTTTTGCCCCATTGATTTCCAATATATCGCCAATTGTTGATTGCAAAGCTATGACAGCGTATAATTATGCATTTCTGGCTGCTTCTGGCTCTCCTTGTTGGGAAGAGGTCAAGTTTGTCATTTGTACTGTAGATCACCAGTTACCGACACATTTCCTGTTGGTAAAAATCACACCACATGTGTAAAGAAAACCATCTCTGTTCCAAGCAGCCCACCACTACATGCTTATTTATGGTTACGTGAAAATATATCTGTGTCTGCCTGTAAACTAATGCTAAAAATGAAAGTTTTATGCATTTTCCGTCTTACAGATGAGATGCATCACATCATCCAAGTGGATGCTGCACACTGGTGGTGGTGTGGAGAGACTCGTGATTGTGTAGCGCTTTGCTTTTAGCCATACACAATAAACGCGCTACATAAATACACACATTACTTACTTACATTTTACATAAGGCAAAACAATCTTACAAGATGGTAAAAACAAAGAGAAGGTGCTTTAGTCATGGTCATGCAGAAGATGCTTTATTTTACTTTACTATTATTTGTATTTCTTTTGTTTTTTTTACACAAAATGAAAGCACAAATAGATGTAATATTTTTCAAAATATAAGACTGAATGCATTTAGCCAATGTGTTTCATCATTTCCGTTTCATCTGTATCATCATTTTGAAAAATGTTGGAAACTTGTAACCATTGTCATCCATAGTATTTGCTTTGCCTACTAAGGAAGTCAATGGTTACAGGTTTTCAGTCTTTTAAGAAACTTAAAGGCTTAAAACCACATGAGGATGTTACTCTTATGGCCAGTTTCTATTGAGTGGTACGGTTCAGTTTGCTTTTATGGCCGTTTCCACTGTCAAAAGATACCAAAAAAACGAACCGTACTGTACTGCTTTTTGGGTACCCTGATGATAATAATGTGGACGTGATTATTGAAGTGCTTCTGACATCCAATCCTTTAAAAACGGACAAACGCGAGAGAAGCGCAAATAAACAAAAGAGCAAATGATTCTTTCAGCAGCCTAAAAGATGAACAAACTGCCATGTTTAACTATTATCATCGTCTTCTGAACTATGATGAACTGAGAATGACAGAATGACTCTCTAACAGAGACTGCATGTGCTGCTGAAGATTACAGACACATTTGAGAGGTCTTCTTTGACTGTGGGCTATATATTGCGTGTGGTTTTGGAACCCAAATAAGGACTAAATGTCTGCTGTGTGTAGTTTTTCTGTAATCGGTAACATATCAGAGACTGTAAGGGGCTGTATGTGTTCATATATGTTCATTTATTTATTTTATATAATTGCAGACGTTACAGGCTATTTCGCATCAATGATCTGCAGTCCTAATCAAATCCTGTTCATAGAAAGGTTAGTAATAAACATTTATACACAAGTCATTATGTGTATAAAGCATCTGTTTAGTGAGAAGTGCTTCTCGTATGATATCTGAACGACCCGTACGGCTTTACTGTGACATTTCCTCGAGCGAGAATGATGTTGACTGAAGCTTTCTGTTGTACACCACGCCCACCAAGAGTATCATTGGTACCCTTGGGCAGTGGAGACACACGCCTGATAAAGGTGACCCGTACTGAACAGTATCATACCACTCAGTGGAAACAGGCCATTCAGTGAATACGTTGAATTTTAGGTGAACTATTACTTTAAGATTAAAAATAAAGTTATTAAAATAGTGAACGAATTTAAGTATCTTGGCATAACTCTAGACATTAATGTTAAAAATATAAGTAGGAAAGTTAAGCAAAGTCTAAACTGTTTTCGTTTTATTAGAAGGTTTTTAACACATCAAACATGCACACGATGATATTCTCTCACTTGATGTGTTGCATTACATCTTGGTCACAAGCCTCTTTAACAACATTGAAGCCTATTGACTCAATATATAGACAAGCAGTTAGAATGATGGACTGAAAGCATATGCGATGGCATCACTGTGAAGTTTTATGTAAACTTAACCTTTTTAGTTTGGATAGTTTTATTAAATGTAATTATCTTAAATTGGTTTTTAAATGTTTAAATAATCATGTTTCAATGCTGTTTTCTGATCTAATCAGTCGGCATCAAACCTGAGTTACACGGGCAACTGCTAATGGTGACTGTCTAGTGCCAAAGTGTAAGAGCTCCTTTGGTCTAGCTATCCTCTCTGTAAGGGGAGCCAAACTGTGGAATGATTTACCAGTTAGCCTAAAATCAGAAAGTAATCTAAATATTTTTAGTAGTGCTCTTAAAAAGTGGTTAAACACAAAACAGCAGTGTTTGCACAAATAGTCTACTGTTAGTTTGATGGATCATGTCGCCTTTGCTTTTGCATTCAGTAATTTTATGTAAAGAAATATAATGCTGTGTATATGTATTTGTCATATTTCTATTTTGTCAAGCCTCCTGTGGACAGGTGTTGAGAAGTAGCAAGTTTCCTTAAACTCTTAAACAAATGCATTTAGTTGTCCAGTGTAATTGGGATGTCCATGTCAAATAAACAAAATAAATAAAGATGATATTAGCTAATTAGGCGGCGATGCTAAACATCTCAGACCTCAAACTGCATAGGATTTGACCTTTTATACACATTTCTAAGCTGTAAAAAAGGTGCTGTGAGCTTGTTGAAACAATCAGACCTTTAATTACTGTAACTCTCTACTAGCCGGGCTTTCAACTAACTCCATCAAACCTGCTTCAGAACGCAGCAGCTCGAGTGGTCTTTAATGAACCTGAAAGAGCACATGTCAGTCCGCTGCTCATCCGTTAGCACTGGCTGCCAGTTGCTGCTCGCATCAAATTTAAAGCTCTGATGTTTGCCTACAAAGCGACTTCTGGCTTTGCTCCTTCATATCTGCTCTCACTTCTGCAGATGTATGTGCCCTCCAGAAACGTGCGTTCTGTGAATGAACGTCGCCTCGTGGTTCCATCCCAATGAGGGAAGAAATCACTTTCCCGAACTCTCGCGTTAAATCTGCCCAGTTCGTGGAATGAACTCCCGAATGGCATCAGAACAGCAGAGTCACTCGCTGTCTTCAAGAAACACTAAAAACTCAACTATTTAGTCTATACTTGACTTCCTAATCTGCAATTGCCTCTCTGGATATACCACTAACTGTATTTAAAAACAAAAAAAAAATCTTACATTACTAACGCTTTCCTTCTTACACTTTACACACCTGAAACTCGCCTACAGCACTTATTCATTGTTGTTCTTATAGTTGTGTAAATTGCTTCCTTGTCCTCATTTGTAAGTCGCTTTGGATGAAAGCATCTGCTAAATGACTAAATGTAAATGTAATTTCAGTGTTTCCATGTCTGCTTAGTTGTTTTATGGTCTCATCTGTCCATGTTAAATGTGCTTCAGTTTGCAGCACTCAGTGTGTGTGTGTCTGCTGAACACATGATGAACATCCAGAAGAAGCTCTAATCTGCAGTAAGCTGTAATTCCACACACAGCAAACATACCTGCAAAGCTGCTTCCACTGATTTGGGATTAAGGTGAAATCCGGCCTTCAGAGCATATTCACTGTGACCCAACGAGTCCAGCGCCACTTTATACGCCTGCACAAACATGCAACACACACACGCACGTATACACAAACAAACGCACATCATAACAGACACAAACCAACAAACAAACACATGTGGAGACAAACACACAAACATGTGTACACAAAATCACAAGTACACACACACACAAACAAGCAAAAACAGACACGCACACACAAATGCACACAAACAAAATCAGATACAACAAAAAAAACACACACACACACAAATGCACAAACCACAAACACAACCACACACAAACACAATCATACACACAAAAAACACAATTAATATACATCATATTTCATACACAAAGAGAACTCAATGTGCTTCAAATAAACAAGAATAAAATAAATCCATCAATAAATCGTTTCATAATATTAATACTCAAGCAGTAAGAGCTCATCTGAATAGTGTGTGTGTGTTGACCTGCAGAGCGTTGTCGATCTTGGCGTTGAGCTCTTTGAGTTGGTGTTCAGGTATGGAGGTGTTCTGAGAGCAGAAGAGCTGCTGTACCTGAATACCAGACAGACAACCATCTCTACCTCTCTCCCTGAGACACGCCGTCACCTGAAACACACACACACACACACACACACACACACACACACACACACACACACACACACACACACACACACACACACACACACACACACACACACACACAGCCACACACACACACAGCCACACACACACACAGCCACACACACACACACACACACGTTTAACATCGAGTCTCCATAGACTGACACATTCTGACACACTGACGTTCACATTTTCACACTGATAACGTTAGTCTTATTTTTGAATCTGCCACTATGCTGACACACAGGCATATGTAGCTCCACCCTTTTCTGAAAAGAGCACAATCTCATTTGAATTTAAAGTGACAGTCACCGAAACGAGCCTAAACGGGTCAGTTTCAGAGAATTATAAAACATTATCTGTGTGGTATTTTGAGATAAACCTCACACACACTCTAGGGACTCTCGTGTTCCACCTTGTATGAAGGAGTATAATAGGTGTGTTTGGTGCAGCTCTGCTACCTCAGCAGCTCCTCTCCATGATCTGATGGCCTCCTCCAGCTCGCTCAGGTGGTTCTGCATGTGGGCATTCCCGCGTCTCTCTTGAACCTGTGCCAGCGCCTCTGCCAAGCAGGACTGAGCCACCGGCTGCACCTTCTGCAGCGCCTGCGACAGGAACTGGAAATGAACCTGCATCACCGTCAGGAAGCAGCGGCCGAGCACCTGAATGAGACAAACACACACACACATCAGCAACACTTTCCTCATCACACTATCAGCAGTGATTCAACCACTCTACACCAAAAACATTTCCTGATGGCATTAATCACTAATCAATAATTCAAAGCATGTTACTCTGCAGAATTAAACACTTTATTATTATTTTATAAATGTTTCAAGAGTTCACACTTATGATTGATTATGAAGCACTTAGCACTTAAGAACTTAGCATGCTGTCCCGTGAGACAGCCCTGAGCTCATAAGATCCTCGAGCCCAGGGCTTCCTCCCATTTGCAGGGCGAGAGGGGAGTTTAAGCTCAGGTAGGTCTCGAGAACCCTGCTTATTTATGGCTAATGGCAACTTAGAGATTGCTATGGAGAGCTATACTGCTGATTAACAGCTCATCTATAGTGCCAATTTGGTTTGGTCATTTCACCTATGTCGGATATCTTTGGACTGTTGGGGGGAACCGGGGAAGCATGTAAATTCCACACAGAAGCGTCGACTGGCCTGGTGAGGACTTGAACCAGTGACCTTCTTGTTGTGAGGCAACAGTGCTAACCACTGAGTCGCTGTGCCAACCTATCAAGGAAAAGGGAGGAGGAGTAGGGGTGGAAGGGGGATTCTTCGAGTAGGAGTGGAAGGGAGGGATCCATCATCTGATTGATGAATAATGCATTAGCTAATGCAGGACCAGTCGTGGTCAATCATAAGCACATGATCCTCTTGAAATTAGTTTATAAATAAACTTAACAAAGATATGGATATGGATTTTAAATGCAGGAATTATGATGATGATGATTATTTAAGACAATAATAATAACAACATAAATCATTGTAATAATGTATAGAGTAATCAAGATGGATATTAACAATAACAATAAATAAATGCATAAAAAAGTATAGTAGAAGTAATAATAAATACAAAATAATGAATTATTATTATTAATATTATTAGGCATGTTATACATGACTTAAGTCATTATTTCTTAGTTATTCACAATTATTATTTACAGAAAAATATGTTTTTAGTATTAAAAAAATAAAAATATGCATATATATAATGAAGTAAACATTAATCATTACAAAATATTAAAATAGAATAATAATCACTTTTGATGTTCATTAAAGAAAATGTAAAAATGTTTTACATTTTTATTATTATTATTATTATTACTATTATTATTATTATTATTACTACTACAATAAACTAAATACTCAAAAATGTAAAATATTATGTATGATACTATATTACCATTAAAGTTATTTTAAACATATTTAAAACATTAGTATTATTATTATAATTATAAGCTTAATTATAGTTAAAAAATAATAAAGTAATTCATACTCAATTAAAATAAAATAATGAAATATAACAATGTTTACAATTGATGCTGTTTTTAAAAATATAAAATATTTAATTATTATTATTATTATTATTATAAACATAACGATAATCAACTAAATATTACTCGCAATTAATATGAAATATTAAAATATAATATTTACTACTGATATTAAAAAAGTATTTCAAATGTTTTATATTGTCATAATTATAAAAATAAAAACTAATACTCAACTTAAAATATCAAAATATAAATGTTTATTATTGATGCTCTTTTAAATATATATTTTAATTATTATTATTATTATTAATATAACAATAATAAACAAAATATTACACACCATTATCACAAACTATTAAAATATAATATTTACTATTGATGTTATTTTAAAAGCATTTAAAATGTTTTTATATTATTATTATTATTATTATTATTATTATTATCAGTTATAAAAATTTAAAATAATTAATACTCACAATTAAAATCAAATATTAAAATAACAATGTTTACAATTGAAATTCCTTAAAAATATTTAATTATTATCAATATTATTTGTATTATTATTATTATTATTATTATAAAATAATAAACAAAACATTACTCAGAATTAATTAAAACAAAAATCAAGTATAGCAATATTTACCACTGATGTTCTTCTTCCAAAAAACTAAATAACTAAAACATACTGCACAGAAAAAATATAGTGCCTTCAATTGCAGCAACAGTTTATCTGAGAATGTGATAAAGAGAGTTTTCCATCTGCTTCAAAGCTTTGCTTGAATCAGTCTTCTTTACCTCACATAGCAGACATCAAACACATGAATCAGGCTATAAACAGTCATGTACATCTGCTGCTGATGTTTTATTAACACACAAAACCATCAAGCAAATGAGGCCAGAAACCCACAAAGGTCATCATCAGTGGTGTGTGTTCAGAACATTCCTAGACGCTGCAGATTTACAGCAGCAGCATTGCCGTACCGTTTCCTAAATAGGGAGTTTTCCTGACTCACGCTCACTCATCGACATAAAATAAAATAATCAAATAAAGATGGCACATCTCTTTCTGCTTCGAGCACTCACAAAACCTGCTTATGCTTTCACAGAGATTGTAATGATGCATTTAAAGATGAGATAAGATAATGTTATGTTAAAGTTAATGTGGTCACACTTTACAATAAAGTTCTATTAGTTAATGTATTTATTAACATGAATTTATTAATCATAGTTAACAGATGCATTTTAAAAGTTGTGCTTAAAATTAATGTTGTTGTTAATAGTAAAAGTTATAAAAATGAATAAATAACTAAAATTATTAATAATAAAAATAACAAAATAAAGTATAATGTGTAATATTATTCGCATTATTTGTTACTAATAATAATTAAATAATATACTATTATATAAAATAAACTACAAAATATATTACAATTTAAACATGCAACATTTAAAATAATTTTTATAGTTATTAAATATAATTAAATATATATATAAATATACATATTTTTTGATGAACAACCCTAAAAGATAAACCTTCACACAACTTCAACAACTAAATCATGTTTATATAATTTACAATGTATTTTTTTAGATTAATTTGATTAATTTTACAGTTATATATATATATATATATATATATATATATATATATATATATATATAATGGGATTAAGGGGATTATAACAATGTACTATCATTTAATGTTCATCACTAATCGTATGAGTAATAGCATCTATTTAACAAATTATATTTTATAATTATTTGCTTCAGGATTAATCAAAATGTTAATTTCTACAGTTATGGAGTAAATTATTAATAATATTAGATGACAAAATATAATATTTAATAGTATGATTTTATTGCTGATAATAATAATAATAATAATAATAATAAAAATAACAACAACAACAACAATAGAAAATACATATTACATTAATAATGTCAAATATATTAATTTAATGAATAATACAATTGTTGACTGCTGAAATATTAATAATAAACATTACAAAAATATACATGAATAAATAAATAAATAAATAAATACAAAATAAATAATTGAATAAAAAATTATTAAACAAATAAAAATACAAAAAGAATTAAATGAATAAAATACAAATAAATATAACACAAATAAATGAATAATTAAATTACAAAATAAATAAATAAATAAACATATAAATAAAAAGTACAAAAAAAATAAATAAACAGCAAATAAATGTATAAAAATTCAAATAAATAAACAGAAGTAAATGAATAATAGTATAAGTAAATTAAAAACAAATAGACAAAAATACAAATAAAAATGCAAAAAAATAAATGAATAAAATACAGGTAAATATAAAATACAAATAAATATAAAATACAAACAAATAAATAAAAAGACAAAATAAATGAACTAAAATACAAAATAAATAAAAGAATAAACAAAGAAATAAGATACAAATAAACAAAAATATAATAAATAAATAAAATAGAGTAAAAAAATAGAATACAAAATAAATTGAATTTGAATTAAAATTATAAAAAAATATATTTTTGATAAAATACAAAAAATTACTAAAAATACTAAATAAATTCATAAGTAAACATTAAAAAAAACATTTTGAAAATAATTTTTATAAACCTAAATCTTTCTTTTTTTGTAAAAACCAGCCACACTCCAGGGTTGAAATGTTTCAAAGTTTTCTATAAAGAATTAATAAGAGCTTTATTTTAATCTTCAGTATGGATTCTGCTCTCTGTTCTGCACATATAGAGTGGTCTCGGTCCCCCACCCACAGCAGAAAGGGTTTCTTTTACAGGTATCTGCTGAAAATATCCACAGGCCGGGTTGTAAAGACAGAAATATGCCATCTTGTGCAACAGGAGACATGCAGGAAAAACAAGGCGGCGCCAGTTTCAGTCTTCAGAAACACCTGAGAGCAAACAGTGTCTATATCAACCTGCTAAAGACTGATCTGGAGACAGGCTCATTAATCAACAGACTCATTAATTAATCTGTCAAGATACGACTGACACTTTATTCAATGCTCCACATCTCAGAGCTCAATATATATTCCAGGACATACATGAACACATCATATTAATATAAACACTTCTGTCTTTAATACTTGTTGTGAATTATATTTTTTTTAGTATTAATTATTAAATGAATCATTTAATCAATTATTGGATAATTTTTTTTGTTAAATTATGCTTATTTTAACAATTAGTTCATGTTTATATCATTTAAAATGTACTCGTTTGACTTAAATTATTACATATACTAATATTAATATAAATATAAATACATAAAAATATAATAGCATATAAATTAGATTTAGACATGTAATCATTTAATTGCATTAAATGATGTCTAGCATGTTGTTAGGACACATAGTTACAATGTCACCTGCTCCCCTAATGTTTATGTTTGTAATACTTATATTATTTGCTAATATTAACCACCTCATGTGGAACTCTGAATCTGTGTCTCATTTCAGTCGTGGATGCATGCTCTGAGAGCCTTTTTGAATGAATGAATGAATGAAAGACGTTGTTTTCCAGCAAGGCAACCCAGGAGCTGAAATATAATTGGCTAAAGTGGCATTGAGTGGGTAAAATGACCAAAACAAAGACCGCCAGTCCAGCACATAACACACATTTTCAAAGCAAAA